AGTATTTTCATTAGTAACATTTGAGTATCATGCCAGTTAGCTTCTGGGTGCAGTTCAAGGTGCAGCACATGGGACCTGGTTGATTTTGACAGGTGTAATATAAGTATGTTCCATCTAGATTTAACCCTCTAAATTTAGGATTTAGGGCAGCTTCATCCAATCCACATGTGTTGATTTTAATTTCCATAATTTCAGGCCAGTATGGCCATTGACCATGCTGGCCAAGGTGTGCGAGACTTGGAGCCAACACATCTGGAAAGCATCAGACTGGGAAGGGAAAGATTGATCTTTATTAGCAATAAAGAAATCAGGAGTGTAGAAAAATATTTCAGAAAATGAACGGAATTGCTTATGATCCAGCATTTTAGGTACACAAATCTTGCATGTAGTCAACAACAAGACATATTTCTGCTATTTAAATTAATACTGAATTGATAAATGTAATTAACTTAGGGATGGTAAAAACAACAATGGTCTTTCCTCCAGCAAACCACATTATGGGCATTCGCAGATGGACAAAACAGGATACATGCCTTGTGATATTTCATGCAGGTATGTAATGAGCGTAATTCGCATTATGACATCATGGCACACTTTTCGTCATTTTGACAAAATTTGGCTGATGCAGATATGTCTGGACCACATAAAAGTCACAGTATTCCAAAATCAGCTAACAGTGAATGGAAGGAATGGTCCTTATCCTCATTAGCCAAATGCACACCAGCATGAAACGTCTAGTTCTGTAATGGTAAAATGCTTCATGTATTTCCAGCCTAACCATTCCCACAGTGTGCTAAACAATATTTCATTGATCTGGGTAGAAAACATTCATTGCCAAAAAAATCCTGTGTCCTTTTAACATTCTCTTTAAAGTCCATATTCATATAATATACTTTGATTTAATAGCAAAGGCTCTTAACAGCTTATTAATCTTGAGATATTATTTCTTCAGTTCTTATGTTAAAATTACCATTCAGTTAAGTGGCCCTATCAAAAAATGTGCGCACCTTACATATGCTGAAAATAAATTGCTTTTGTAAAAAATACAATTTGAAAAATTTATTGGGAAAGTATGAAATGTTTTCAAAATCAGAGTCAAGACTTGAATTTACCTCCTGCTGCGGAATAAAATGTTTCCATGTGTCAGCAATAACTTATTTATTAAAAAATATGAAATTCCATTGGCATAAGAAACATTTGCTCATGAGATTCTGGCATCTCACTAAATACTCATGTGTGAAAAGGAAAGAAAACACATTCCTTTGAACATTGGACTTTATTTTTGAGCTCTACAAAGGAAACTGCAAAATAAACAACAGATTACCAGATGGGCTGATGTATCAACAATAATAAAAATTTCTAAGCTCAAGGTTAAAAGATATTAGGATCTGGTTATCTGCTACAATGCCCTCACTCTGAAGTTACTGCTTTAAGACAGAAAGATAGCACTGTTTATAATTACAGTGCAGAAACTCAGAAAGTGATGGCCATGTAATGCATACAGTCAAAGCTTTAATTTTCTGTATTTAAGGCATTTTACACCACTCCACATCTGAAAATATAGCTTATAAATATCATAAATGAAATAATCCCTGCTTGCAGAATTACAAATTTAAAAACATAGAATGAAACAGGATTGGAAGGGAAGAGGGAAAGGGCCAAATCAGAGCCAAGTGTTTTTCAGTTCTAGAATCAGCAGATCATAGAGATGAATGTGCCCACGAAAAAGCTGTTACGCTCTCTGACTCAGATGGCCTTGGTGACAGTGAGTGGCTGGAGAGAGGACGTATCCAGCTTTTACATCTATATATTCCTGCTAGTGTAGGAGAATCTCTCCGTATGTACTGTATGGATCAAGAATTTGATCCTTACTGTTTTGTGCAGATAGTGGTAGGCCTGAAAATGCAAAATATAGGAATGGATATTATATTTTATATGCAGGAGGTAGCTTCTGTGATTTTATCTGTTGTATGTTTCTGATATGGATACGATTTGTCTATGATTGCACTGTACATAATTATCTAAACGTACTGTTTTAATATATCATTAAATTATTTTTGGTTCTCTGAAAAATAGGGATGATCAGAATTCAAAATACTTTAAGTTTAAAAAGATTGTTTTAAAGGTTCCAAGCTTGAAATAAACATCCTTTATTTTGGAGTGTTAGATAAATGTGAGACAAAGCATTTTGCTCCATGTTGATTGTTCTTCTATAATGAATAATGGAATTTCAAAACAAATTTCTTGTGTGTGTGTGTGTGTGTAATTTTTTTTCCAAATGACACAAAAGATGGGTGCTGAATGCTACCTACCAGCAAACATATCCAAAAATTGCTAAAGAAGATGATTTTAAAAGTTTTAAAAATTCCCATAGCAAGCGACAGTTAAATATGGCTTTTGCACTCTACCTGGACAATACAACATTGATTTTATTTCTTTTTTTAAACTTGTTATACTTCATAATATACTTCACAATTTCAGTTTCATGAAAAATCTCTCCCCAGTCTTAAATGTTAATAGATGAGCAAAGATTATAGGAATGGTAGCAAAGATTCCAATGGCCTTTTCATGCTTTGCTGGTTGTCTTTGTACAGGCATGCCTTGTAAATGCTTCAGGTAGTCCTTTCTGTTTTGCTTATCTTTGAAATTAGATACTAGCAGGGGCAATTTTCTAGCAGGTAATATTTCTTAAATTATCTATCTATCTATGGCGGCCTTCTCCAGCTTGGTGTTCCCCAGGTGTTTGGGGCTGTAAGTTCATTATATCTAACCAGTTATAGCTTCTGAGTATTCCTTGGTTCTACACTGAGTCTTCAGGTGGCAATGGTAGAAAGGAGTATATTTGATTGATGCCATTCTCAGGTGTTGCCTGGTCACAGCACATCTCAGTAGTTGCAGTGTGCTCATATATTATTCTTGAAGAACATTCAGAAGCTTCAGTTTACACAAAGAACAGCAGTGGAGTTGCCAAACTGAACCTGGTACAGCTGCATCAATCCTATATTGAAAAACTAGCACTAGCTACAAGCTTTTTCACAGGCTTAATTTGACAGGCTGGTTTTAAGTTTTAAAACTCTAAATGGCTTTTAAGTCAGTTATCTGCAGGATAAAGCTTATCAGTTATGAAGAGTAATTTAATAATTTCCCAGGATAACTTCTCATTTATTAAAGCTACAAAGGGAGTGCCTTCCAGAGTTTGAAAGCAACACACATAGGGCTCTTTTGAAGGCTCTTCCACTTGCAGGTCACTATTTGAGTAGCTGCCAGTAGTTTCTGCCCTCTTTGTCCTTACAAGGGGTATCAAAAACGTAATTCTATCTTAATTATAACTTAATTGATTTAATTGTTCTGTTCTTTTTATTTATTGTTCACGATATCACTACATGAAATTTTCATGTTATTGATTTCTGGGTTGTTTTTTTGTAATTCTTGTGTATTGTGGCAGTTTTCACAAAAGTTGTATGGAAATTCTCTGAATAAATAGAAGAAGGAAGTTGTAATCCCATACCCTGATAGGGTGGCAAATTAGAGAAGTTTGATCAGTGGACTACCAACGAAGAGTGAGTCCAAGCAGTATTAAAGAAGACTTTCATCCATTTGAGAAAGAAAGACAACTTCAGAGGATTATCAAAAGGGGCCAACTCCCTGGGAGCCTCACCCCAAACCAAATATATGATTTGTTCTGACAAGCATCTACTGAATCCTGCAAGTTGCAATCATCTTCACCAGCTGAGGAAGTAAACAGAACCTTGTGTATTAAACTGGTGGAATGAAAATAGAGCGAGTGACTGAAGTTGCACCGATTGTGATTTCTATCTTTGAAGCTCCACAGAACTAAGTTGGTTTCTTAAGATGTTCATCTAATTCTGATTATCACCTTGAATCATTCCAAAATTCCAGACTCTCATTAAAGACTATTGCTTCAGTCAAACCAGCCAAAATATATAGGGAGTACTCCTGTCAGGCTCCATAAGCCAACAGATGATGTAACATCTGAGAGAGACCTTCACATTAGAATTTGTGAACATCAGAGGAAATGTTACTGTACTTAGGAATGTTCGAAGGTCATGAGTTAAAGGAGTAAGGAAGTGTTTAGAAGAAAACGGCAGTCAATTTGAAAATTTAATGTATATAATAAAATGTGTATGGGGCCTGACTTTTGGTACACCTTGTATTTCTGTTTGTGGGCAAAAGGAGAGAAGAGAGAGAGAGAGAGAGAGAATTGTTAATAAAGAACAAAGGACCATACTTAATTTTTTTTTTGGTAGGGAGAAGGAAGACTACAGTGGCCAGTTTGATGATGCAGTGTGGGAGAGGTGGAGCACTCCCTTAATCTCCGAAGTATTGGGTGGGAGTTGGTTTTTGTAAACTGTGGATATGCGGAATTCCTTGAACGACGTTTATGTTTTCCTGTCTCAGAATGGTAGGAAAAACTGCACTACAGATTTTTGGTAATCACACTGCCAACATGTGGTAGTGTGTTTGGAAGTGGCTCCAGGGATTGCAAAAATGGAATTCAGGGCTACAAGTTGCCTAATTCTGTCCAAAACCATGTCCATACAAGCAACCCCTATAATAATCAAGTGCATGGACAAATCCATCACAGTGCTGGGGCGGGGGGGGGGGGGGGGG